CTTCCACCTCTCTTGCGTCATTTGTCCGAGTGGGCTATTGCGTTCGATGAGCACCACGAGCAGATGTCGCTTGGCAATCAAATTGGCCGCCGCTGCTGCCTTGGATGTAGGGGGAAGCTGTATGACGTTTGGCCTCGCAGCCTCGTCTTTACATTTCTGTTTCTTTATAGGCTTTACTGCCTCTTCTTCCACAGACCGCTGCCTTTTGCTCAAGCCTACATTTTATCCTTCTCCTCATTCTGGTTGGTCTTGTCGATAAGTCGGCCGCAGATCTTGACCGCAACTGTATATCGCGCCTTAGCCTTCAACCCCTCCTTGCTTGACCTCGTCCTCGGTATCTTCTTCCGTTCCGCGCTTAGGCTAACCGCGCTTTCCTGGCCCGAGTCTTTAAGGTATATGGCACTAGTGTGTGGCAAGCCGTGTCTGGCAGTAGTTCTACAATCATTTTAATTCTTTGGACCCTTGTGTAGCACATAATAATCTCTATATTCAACAAAAAAAAAAAGAAAACAATCGGACCGCATGGTCCTTAAATATACGCAGTGACGCTATTTGACAAAAATGAAAGTTGATTTCTTTTTTTCTTACAACATCGCAAAGTTCTGCGAAGTGTGCATGGCTCTTTTCATGAAACTTGTTTTAATATGATTTGGAGTAATTCTAGTTGTTTTTGGGACACGGCGGCGGCCATACAAGAAAAAAGGCAGCGTTTTAGAAATGGAGAAATATTTACAGCTATCCCTTTTACACAGACAAGAAGATCCTTTAATTTGGTGAAGGCATAGCCGCAATGAATTTCCAAATTTGTTTACACTGGCAATGAAATATGTTTGCGCATCATCATCCTCAGTGAACCCAGAACGAGTGCATCGGGTAGCATTTATGTTGAAAATCGAAAGAGGTTGTTGCCCGATAATTAGGAAATGTTTCTTTTCAAAATGAAGGAAATAAAAAATTTTTAACTTTAATCAGACCTGTTAAATAATGATTAATAGTCATAATGATTATTAATTAAAGCATGTTTTTTTGGTAACCATTTAATGATTAATAATCAATTATTTTCAAAAAAAAATTTAATGAATTGATTCATTAATTTTAATTACATAACTGTTTTGTTATTTTTGATTATTTTCAGTTATTTTTGAAATTTTTTAATTACTTGATTAATATAATTACTTGCTTTTTTTCAATTATTTTTGATTTATTTTTTAATTGCATGATTAATATAATTATTTGATTATTTTGAATTTGTTTTTGATTTTTTTAATTATATGATTAAAATAATTATTTGATTATTTTTGTGTTTTTTTTTTTTAAATTTTATTTCAATTTGTGAATAATATATTGTACAATGTTCGGGGATGAAATTTCTGTGGTTAATGCTGTAGTGTATATATATATTGTTTTAAGTTCATTATATGCTGTTTTTAGGTCAAAAGAAATACAAAAAATTTAAAATTTTAATTTTGAAGGTCAAAGTAATTATTTATTCAATACGGCCTTCAAAATGACCATAAAAAGTAAACTTTTTGATTTTTTATCTTTCTTTTTACCTAAAAACAGCATGCAATGAATTCAAAAAAATATATAAAATGCTTTTTTCGGTTCCTGCTACTATAGAAAAGGATTCCTTGATGCAATAACATCAAAAATATCTGTTTAAAACTTTTTAAAAAGTTCGCCTCATACTGTTTTCAGGTAAAAAACACAGTTCATTTATTTGGGAAAATAATTAAAAAAAAAAAATCATATAATTAGAAATAATCAAATAATTGAAGATAATCTAATAATCAAAAACAATCAAATGATTAAAAACAATCAAATAATTAAAAATAATCAAACAATTAAATATAATGGAATAATTAAAAAAACAATTTGATTAATTTTGATTATTTCTAATTATTTGATTATTTTTGATTACTTTCTTAATGGCAATTAATCATGATTATTTTTGATAATTATAAATAATAAATTATTTATGGCTGGGTTATGTCAGAAAATTAAAATAATCATTAAAATTACAAAATGCAAAAAAAAGTAATGATTACTAATCGTAATGGAAATTTAACAGCTCTGACTTTAATTACTAATTGGATACTACTTAATTTTATTATAAAAATAAAAATAAAAAATTCTGAACTAGATCTTTAAACTGAATCTTCTATATTCAATATCTGGAAATTCGGCCGGATTTTAGTCAGTATCCGGCCGGATAGTCGGATAACAGAAAAACTGCTGCATAAGCCGGATTCCGCATATCTACCGGATACCCAGCACATCCCTATTTATTATGCTTCAAGACCATACTTCGCAGAAATATTTCTACTTACATCGCAAGTATATATATATAAAAGCAGACAAATTGGCCCTTAAATACGTGAGATATATGAATTTTATTTTATTTTTTTTTGTCGCGGTAGACCTTAACCCTCTATTAAGTCATATTTATTTAAAATTTATGTAGATTTTGTCATGGTATCTGTATTAGTAAAACCAAATCCACTTAGGGTGTAGTGTTTACTTTTTACAATGTGCACCACTTGCTGTAAAAAAATAAAGAAATTATAAGTAATAATCAATTGGAAATTAAACTCTTGTGAACTCACTAGCACCAGTTTAATTAAAAACACTGCAAACGTTAAAAAGTTAATGCTAATTAAGGCTGCCTCCGGCGGAAAATTGAGGTTGGATTCATCCAATAAACCACGTTTGCGCCGCATATGCACTTTTGGCGTCCAAATCATATGGAACTGATCCTCTGTTATAAAAGAGATTAAGTTGAAAGAAAAATATAAAGACCAACATTTTTTCTTTCAAAAATTTTACCAATCATGCGCATAATTTTATTTTTCAATCCTTTTAATTTATTAATCTTTTGTTCGATCGTCAATCTTGATTGCCTAACCCAGTTACGCTGCACAGTTCTTATAAAATTAAGAAATCCTTGCATTGATGGGTATTGTATGCCAGTAATGACATGTGGAAAAATATTTGTATTGCCCTCTTTAGATCTCATATCATCTGCTTCCCCTTCGTCCTCCTCATCATGGCTGATCTCTTCTGTGTCCTTTGGTTCATCACCATTTGAAACTTTACCATGACTTTTAAGCGGTTGTGTTGCCATTGCTGCCGAAATCTCGCTCTGTTTTAATGGTGGCGAGGTTGGATCTATTATACCGGCTTTATTTTTAAGCAATTGCGAAGCTGGATCAAGCAATTTCTTCAAACTTTCTATATCTTTTGTGTTGCCAAAGCGTTCACGTTGATATTGTAGCCATTCTGGACTAGGTGTTGTCATATCTTCGTTAGAGGGGTGCTGATTGGGTTTCTTGGCCTCAGTGTTGTTTTCTAACGCTACTTGATGGGCTTGAAGTCTAATTGAAATTATAAACAATAGAGCACGTAAGTGTAAAGCTAACATTTTGGTGCGTCCAAAGCTGTCGAAGAACTGAAAGAAATTTTCATTCGCGTGCATAAAGATTACATTGAGCTAAGAGTTTCAATTTAGTGCATACAATCGTTTGTTTTATTTTTGTTCTTTGTGGGTGCGTTATAGACATTTATTTCATGCCTCATGATTTTTACATATAATGTACATATGTAGATATGTATGTACAATATGTGACTTGCAATTTTAAGAATGTCAACCGTTGCATACGAATGCACAAGTAACAAATATTACTGTTTTTCCTAAAAGAACCAGCGACATTTCCAACATAAATACATATGTATGTATATGTACATTAGGGTGGTGCAAAAACAGTAAAGTCGGAATTGTAAGATTTTTTCTATATCGAAAAAAAGTATACCCCTATTTTTTATTTTGAAATCAAAAAATATTTAGAGGTCGCTCAAAGCGCTCAAAGTTTTCCATGTATATATTTGCCTACTATTTGAAAAATTTAAATCAGTTAAATTGATAAGAAAAGGTACATAGATATGGTCTTAGTTACCATTTGAAGAAAGCGCGTGATAAGTAGACTCGAGTTATAAGACCATAAATTAAATTCGCATGAGAAAGTCGATACTAAGTCTAAGTACTTTCGAAAATATGAGTAACACCCACATTTGTTTTGAAAATCTCAATTCGCAAAGCTTTTTAAATTCATTTTTTTTATGAATGGAACCATAAGAGTGTTGGAAGGGAGTAATAACACAAAAATACTTTTAAGGTGAAGTAAAGCACGCCGGGTATTTGCTAAAAAATAAAAATATGAATGTTCGTGTTAAGAGTAGTACACATAGAATTAAAAAAACCCAATCTCTTAACTTTTGCTTAACAGCAAAGTTACCAATATTTATTTCGAAAAATAAAGATGAGCATCATAATAATAACAGTTTATTTCATAAGACGAATCTTAGTGATCTTAAAAGTTTTACATACTAAGGGGATATATAGCACAGAACATACATATGTAGTTATTTATGTATTTATATGTAAAATTGTTATTATGCTAACATACATACATACATATGTACATATTTTAAGTTTTGTATGGACTACATATGTTGAGTTATTGAATTGTAGAGAAAAATTTAGCACAATAGTTCAGTTGTTTTAAGCTTTGTCTTTACTTGGCAAACTAACTGCACATGTTTATATGCTTACATATACATATACATATGTATGTTCATCCATACATATGGTATGTGCAATGCACATACATACATATGTACATATGCAAAATATTTTTGAATAATTACGATATTATATAGTTGGATTAAATTGATTTGTGTTTCCCGTAAACTCTTACTTATGCAATTTTTATAAGTGCTATATATTACGTAAGTATGTATGTATATAATAAATTACAATTCCATACGAAGATCGTGTAAGGTACTGTTTAGAGGAAAATTCTTTAAAAAATTCTATATAGTTACATACACAGTCCATAGTTGTGACCTATCAAAGTACAGTGAATCGCTACATGCACACATCCAGATGTACACACATATATATATATTTCGATTCTTTATGTCATTTTTTATTATGTAAAGGATTTTTTTTGTTTTTTGAAGAGACTAACTTTACTCTATTGGGGGCACTGAGGTGCGTTTAAGCTATCTATGCACGAATGTATGTAGATATACTGTTATGTGTAAAATATTAAGACCATCAGAAAGTTCTGCAAATATTGACCACTTATTTAATCCGAAATTGTGAAAAAAATAAACTTAAACTAAAATTGTTTATAATGTGATTCTCGCAGAGCATCATTTTTTTGTCTTTTATTGGCTCACTAACCCGATGTTGCGCTTAACGGAAAACTTAAAAGTTCAACAATAAAAATTACGCTAAATCAATAAAACGAGCTTAAGTATTATATGATACACATTTTAATCGAAATGCATATTGCATACATATGTAAGTAGTATATATGTAAGTTCTAAAAGCTTAAACTTAACCACCAAAATTTTATTTGACGGTCTTAATATTCTGCACATGACTGTACATATAAACATAAGTTTTTACATTATTATGTAGTACGTTTTATATATATGTAATAGAAGTACTTATATAACTTTGGCCAGTTTTTCAGAGCACGTTTCAACCTAGATCACATACTCGTAAACTGCGTTTATGTGTATGTATTTAATAGCTGGCTGACAATCAAATTTTGGTTTAAACCAGCTAACTCCAGCATTTAAACTTAGTTTAAGCCACGGTCCGATTTGACCATGCACTGAAAAACTCGCCCTTAAATGTTCAGAAATTTTGACCAAAGCTCTGTTTGAGCTAACCTTAAGGTTTGTCTTACTATTATTATTCTATAATTTGGAGTTTGCTTTTTATTTAATTTAAAACTCATTTCACATTTCGACATAAATGGCCACGCATCCATTTTATGGCCTTATCGCCAATAGCTTCTACTTTCGGTGTACCGGGTAAACTGCGACAACCACAAGCTTCCGCATCGATGTGCTGATGTTGCTGCGTTGGTTCTTGTATGGATAATTTTTGGCGGTGATTTGTACGCCGTGTTTCGTTGGTTGACATTTGTGATATTTGTTGTTGTTGCAGTTGCTCGTGTTCTTTTTTTTGCAATTTATCATCTTCTTCCCTGACTTCTTCTCGTATATTGGTATTGTTCTCTCCGCCACCAGGTCACATGTCACCGCTACTAGCCCATCGTATATCGTCCGCTTCGTGCGTTAAATAACGTGTGCCCACCTGACCCTCTAAATTGCGCAAATCTCTATAAGTTTGTTTATCTTGTAGCCAATAATGTTGTAGACTTTTATCGACAGTATAGCGTTTACGCTGTTTCACTTGCAGCAAATTGTTGATGAGGTCGATGGCTGAAAGGATAGAGGAAAGTTATATATGCGTACTGAGGTTAATTACAGTTGTTTATAGCTAAAATGTTTTATTAATGCCACTATCCAATTCCTATGTAGAATTGCTTGGTGATTGCGAAAACTAAGTTAATTTTTTTCTATGGATACCTTTTTTTTTAGGTATTTTCAATTCACCGTCATTCAGCTTAAAAAAAAGTGGTCCCACTCAATAGAGTATATCTTACGAACCAATCGAACTATTTTGTTATGAAGTACGGCAATTAAAAGCGAACAAATTTCTCAATAAACTGTAAATACATCACTTTTCCATGCGCCTGATAGTTTCTCAAAAATTAATTAATCATTCCACATTTTTTTGTGCTTTTTTGAGCAAAAAAAAAATTGAAAAAAAACCAAATTTAACAGGGAAAAAATTTAAAAAGTAATGGATTCTGTGCCATTTTTTTGCAAAAAAAATCAAGCCCTAATGAAGAAATAGATGGATGAATAAAGATGGAATGAGTGGTCAAATGAAAATGCGCAAAGATTTATTGTGTGAAAAATGAGCAGGAAAGAATGTTACTCATAGGCCATGAACACCTGGGAAACACCATGTTCTCAGAAATCAAGAATTACCGAATATTTATGTATTTACGGTTTATGAAGAATTTTGTTGGCTTTCATTTGCCGTATTTCGTATTAAAATTGTTAAATTGGTGCGCAAGATAAACGTGGAACCACTATTTTATTAAGCTGAATAACGGAAAATGGCAAATATCTCGAAAACGTATCCATAGAAAAAACTTAGCTTGATTTTCGGAACCAACGACTAATTCCACACAGGAATGGGATAGTAGCATACGGTGAATGAAAAAAATATAAAAATTTGTGATCCGTTGTTCTTAATATATTTCATGTTATACCATTAGAGGAGATCTCCTTCCATGGATTTGGCGGATACATAAAAGCGGCATTTTGTATCTGATCATTTATGTCCTCCTCTTCATTGAAGGGGAACGTGCCGCTGAGGCTGACATAAATAATAACACCAACACTCCACATATCCAGTGAACGGTTGTAGCCTTTGTTGCGGAGCACCTCAGGAGCTGTAAGGGTAGAATAAAATCATTAAAATTTGAAAACCGAAAAAGTGCTTCCAAGAGCTGAAGTTAACTATCTCTCAATAATGAAGTTGTCTGGGACCGCTTAGCATTTAGTTGTAAAGGAGATACAAATTTGATTTCTGGGGCAGGCATCATGAAAGTTTTTTTTCTTAAAATTTGTGATTATCTTAGTTGCATTTTTTTACATCTAGTTGGGGTTTTTTGTAAAAACCAGTAATAATGTTACTTTAAGAAAAATTGGGGAAATTTGCAGTGCCTTTAAAATGGGTCATTAAGGAGAAGTTATTTTTAAGAGAAAGCATATTTTCTTCTTGAAATACTTCATAACAGAGAGGAATTCGTTACAAAGCAGTTCCCGTAGAGAATTATAAATTCATGAAAAACTATCGCATTTTCTTAAAAAATCCTTTTCACAGAGAATTTTTTGTTATGGGCGACTTCATTATAGAGAAGTCCGAATATATTATACTTAATCCTTTACACATCCTTCCATTTTTACTTACCCAAGTATGCTGGTGTTCCCACAACCGACCGCCTAAAAGACTTCTCACCGATGATTCTAGCATAACCAAAATCACATAGTTTAACTTGTGGAAATTCGTTATCGGATGAGAGCAATACATTTTCCGGCTTCAAATCACAATGGACAATATTTTTGCTATGCAAATGTTTTAGCGCTATGAGTATTTGTGTAATTAGGAATTTCGTTACTCTTTCGCTAAGACGTCCACGTTCGTGCGAGAGTATCATCTCTAACATATCACCTTTAAGCTTCTCCATCACAACGAATATGCGTTCTGGCGTTTCGAACATGCGCTCTAAATTCACAACACCGCAATGAGAAATGTTCTGTAGAAAAATATAAAATATTGCAAAACAATTAAATGAATGAAAACAGTTATTGTTTTAAATACAATCTTGAAAAAAAAAAAAACGTTGGTAAAGCCACAAGGCCGTGTGGACCCGTAGAAGACTTTTTTGGAGAACATGGAATTGAATTCGAAGCTGATGGAGTGGTCTTACCGCATTTTGGTACGTACGATTGTGTTTTACGCATCCATAGTATGGTGGAAGAATGTTGCAAAAAACGTTCGTACTACGTCTCCTTATTTTGATTCAAGAAACAGCAGCCATTGTTTAGCTGCAATATCGACTATCCAACGACTGCTTGTATACAAGGAAGTTTGATTCCGGTATTCTTGCGAAGATACCAGGTTTGGAAACGTAAGGAGTTTCTGACTCCATAACCAAAGAAAGTTCCAAGTGAAAATCCCAGATCGCGAAAAATGTGGAAAACGGACTCCTTGCCCTTAATCGCAGACAGGTTAGCTGCAGGTGTTTCGGCACCAAACTTGCCACCCCCTTGGTAAAATGGCACACGGTGCTCCTGCTTGAAGTCTTAGCAATCCTAACCTGTGCCAAACTAAAACTTGAAAAGGCTTCCGGGCCTATAACTGTCGAACTTTGAGATCGAACTCAACGACGCTGACAAGTTGGTGCAAGAGGGATCCTTAACTACCTTTTTAAGACCGGGACTATTCTGCGGGTACAGGTGGTCCTGGGGCGGTGGGTGGCCATAGACAGACCAGGCTCTTCCGCTACCCTTTAAATATGTAGATCGGATAGCATTAAATTAAACAGTAATTACGCAGGCACCTAACTGGTCAAAACCAACTACGATTTCATGCGCACCGAAGAGGTGTTATCGGAGAGTTGGAATGCCTTCAGGACGAGGAAACTTCCGAACGCATGCTTTGTAACTGTCAGGCTTTCGCAAAAAAGATTAATTTCTTTCAAAGCTCCAATGGTCAAATCCTTAGTAATGAGGACTACTAAGATTTCAAAGGAATCAATAGGGAAGTTGACGGTGTTTTGAGCAAGCTAAGTTAGGGAATCTTTTAGGTCACAGGTCTCTTGCTCAGACATAGCCTTGCTTTTATCTATATATCTAAATGCAACATAGTGCATCTCTTTGTACTTCAAATTTGGTCAGTAATGTGCGACTCTTTCTATTTATATATATGTTTACGACATCAAGAGACAGTACTTGAGTACTCCGAACTCGTCAGTTAGTAAAACCCGTAATAAGAGTCGGTGGGGGAACTCTTAGTACAGCCAAACGAGCTACATGAACACGTTGAAAATTGTTTGTTTGGATCTCGGGTTTTAGCTCAAAGTTACTATAATGGGTATACCGGATGGTTGTTGATTTCGCCTCCAAACTTTGGTGGGCAAAAAAATGTTGCTCTCTGTCGCAAGATTGAGGTCGACATTCGTATATTTCTCGATACGCCTGATAAGAACAACTATCAGATAGGTATCTTCCGATAAATTGGCAAAAGAATGCTGACCGCATTTCACCGGCTGAGCGGAATATCGCCCTATCTCGGCTGCCGGTTCGAAAACGTCCTATCTCATCTGGCTATATATTGAATTTATATTAAGAAAGAGCGATTTCGAAGCGGCGGATGAGATTATTATTATTATTAGTACGTCGGGTATAGTCGCGCTGCGACCTAAAATATCTATTGTGCTAAACCTTAATTGTAGTCACTCAAACCTTAAGCTATTCAAGAAATTAAGCACATTGGAAAGTGCCGTGTTCCAAATCTTGGATGGAGAATATAATCGATCCCCACGGTGTATCAGTCTGATATTCATGATACGCGGACAGTCACACAGAATGTGCTCTGAGGTTTACTCGGCTAGCCCACAGAACCTGCAGTCCGGCTCTGCAAAAAGCACCATTTTGTTCGGATGGTACCTTAACTTGCAGTGTCCTGTCGGGTAGCCTGTAAGAGTTCTAAGACCCACCCGGCAGAGTTCACGGAGTCTTTCTGAGTTCCTCCTGGAAGGGATTATGATTTTCTTTGATTATCTCATTCCCTTTGACTTACGTCAGTGGGCAGCAATCTGAGATTCCTCCCAACTCCTAAGCAGTTCTGCAGTGTATCGTCACAGAGTGGCTCGGGACCATGCATTCGCGTTTGCGCTCCACGCTTTGCGAGATAGTCAGCCCTTTCGTTGCCTTCAAACCCTTCATGCCCAGGGACCCACCACAGCGTAACTCTATTATGGGCTCCTAGGCTATTTAGAAGAGTTTTACAACTGTCTACAAGCCTTGATGTCATTCTAAATGAGTCTAAAGCCCTTATCTGGCCTGACTATCCGACATACTATTTATTCTGGCCCCGTTTGTTCTTCTACGAAGACATTCTCGAATGCAGACTTCGATTGTGAAGACTTCCGCATGGAATATGGTTGGATATGAGCCCATTGGCAGACTCTATTGGAACCTTGGTCCAAGCACGCCTGCCTCAGTAATCCCGTCTTCCATTGTTGATCTATCGGTACCTTTGTCAATCATAGATATTATCGCTTTACAGCAGTCCATTTGAGGAATTCTGACCTTGCAGGGCTTGTAAAAGGATAATTTCGGAAGCATGATATCTGTGAGCTTGGTAGCGGGACCATCCAGAAAAGGCTTGAGAACCTCCAAGTGACCCCCAATCTTCATGCTGATTACATTGGGCAGCTGAAGGGCGCTCCAGCAGGCCTCCTTTGCTATCAGAATAGATAGAGATCAAGCGGTGTAGCATGCTCAAGGTGGGACCCGCACTAGCTTGCCACAAGGCTAATGCCGCATATGTGACAACAGGTACTCGACGGTACAGAAAGACCAATACGTTAGTTTGAGTGATATTCCCCAAGTTTTACCATGGAGTCTCCGACAGGCCTAAAACGCCATTCTAGCCTTGTTGGTAACGTTAAGGAGATGTGAGTTCCAATTGAGCCTTTTGTCCAGAGTTACCCCTAGATACTTTGCCTTTTCTGTGAACTCAATTTCTCTCCCTGCCGAGGTGGGCTTAGTCAAGTTCTCTTTCCTTATTTTGGTAAACGGGACAATGGTGGACTTCTGCGGGTTTATTGACAATCCCTTTGAAGCACACCAGTCTATTAGTCTCAGCGTAGCTTGCAATCTGGAACAAATTGTGTCCTCATGACAACCAGTAACCACAGTAGGGGCGATAAGACTCTCTCTTGAGGACAGCCACGGGTGGCAGTTACTGCTTGCCTGCTGTCTCCTAGTTCGGATATTATAGTTCTGGATTTCAACATACTTATGATCCAATCCGTTAGAGGGCCAGGAATATCCTATCGAGATTGCTTCATTGTCGAAAGCACCTGATATGTCCAGAAATTCAAACAAAGCTATCTGTTTATACCGCAATCCCTTTTCAATTACTTGAGTTAGGCTATGTATTGCAGTAATAGTAGATTTGCCTGCCTGATATGCGTGTTGACTCTGACATAGAGGCTTATTCCTGAGAAAGTTATCCCTTATGTGAAAGTCAATAAGTTTTTCTTTGTCTTTACTAGAAAGGAGCTGAGGCTTATTGGCCTATACGCCTTTGGGAGTTGTGCTGAGTTTTTCCCCACTTTGGGTATAAAGACCACTTTGACATCTCTCCGTGTTGCTGGTATGTGAGCAAGTAAGAGACTTGCTCTCAGCAATCTAAGTAGTGGCCCAGATATTAAGCCCAAGCTCTGCTACAGCAGGCATGGGTAAATGCCATCTGGACCAGGGGATTTGAGATAGAATGTATTTGAATCAAATTCTGAGATAGGGCGTCCTTCAAGCATTTACTGAGATATGGCGTTTTCGAACCGGCAGCCGAGATAAGGCGATCTTCGTCTTATACGACCATTTCGTATCGTGGGGGGACCGAGACCACTTTGTGGACTCTGCTGCTTTTCTTCAGACTTGTAATGAGGGGCTAAACTCAAAACGAAGTAAGACATTCTTTGATGCCGAAAACCCGTCGGCCGGCATACAAAGACTAATGACTTATCATTTGATACAGTCGATCCCTTAAGTATAAGAAAATCATCTACTAAGTCAGTTTTTACATTAATTTAGTTATCTGACCGCATCTTGTGGGTTTTAAGGAAGGGATTTCATAGTCGAGGTACATACATGCATACGCCTCCTAGATCGAAGTGTCCCTTGAGCATAGTTTTTGAGAAATCTTCTGCGATTTCGAACCACTTTAGTTTAGCAACGGGACAAAGCTTATATTTGTTTAACATAAAAATAAAACTTTCATTGACCTTTAGGATGGGTGTTTTATGCCTCTTCGTAACATTCATACGGGCCGCATTTGCCTCAAAGTTGCCCAGCACTGTTCTCTACCAACTGCGCATTAGATCGTACCACCTTGCCTTACTAGAATTCTTTAGACTCTAGGGTATATGGCGAAGTTTTTTTTGGTAGGGGCTACTGTCTGTGTTAACAAACGCGATGATCTTTTTTCCATTGTCTTTATAAAATTTAATTATTCTTCGGTAAACTAACTATTTTCAAATCAAGCAACAGTGCTACGTTGGTTAACCATTTCTTCCGTTAGTACTAAATTTTACTTAGGACACGGGAAGTTAAATGCCACTGACCTGCAATATGGCAACTTCATTTTTGAGTTGTGCCTCCTGTTTAGTCGGAAACCTCAACTTATCAATAACTTTAATGGCCACTTCACGTTTGGTTTTCTTGTGTACACCTCCATAGACAACACCAAATTGTCCAGAACCAAGCACTTCATCGGGGAAGATCTGATAAAGCTGACCCATATCCTGTACGTTTTCTTCTGATTCACAGCATTCTGTAAACAATTCACGGTTACATAAGCATGTACTATCGCAATGGCCAGTCTTCCCAATATCTTGTTTTGTGCAATATGTATGTATGTACTTACGCGTGTTTGTGACATGCATATAGGCCTGTTTGATGATTGTCTCCCAGCCTTTAGCGATATCCGAGCCAATACCGCTGTCTGGTGGCGGCAGTCTTACTGGCTGCTCTTCACGTACACCCACTAATGGATCCTGGCCTACATAGTAGCTTATGGTGGCCGTCTTAAGTTCGAAGCAATAATTGTTGTCTACACGAAAATCACGATTCGCATCTATACCTTGTATTTCCGATAGTGGTATATCCTTGTGATACTTGCTACCTTGTTCGGAGAGAAAGAGCGTCAACGTAAGCGTCTTCGAATCTAAGCGCCAATAATAGCGCTTTACTGTTTTATCTAGACTGGTATAATGTACCAGCCATCCCTCTTTGATCGCTTGGCCGCCACGCTTCTTCGTGTGCTTCACTGATTGTACGATACGCATTAACGGTATATTGGCACTGGGCGATGAAGAAGAGCTCGATTGCTCCGATTGTCCATCAATTGACTGCCCCTCGCCGGCGCTACGTCCATCCGCATATCCTCCAACACGTCCATCGCCAGGACTCACCAGCCCATTGACCAGCTCTGGTGGCGAATTGTGTGCATTCGTTGTCGTCTTAGGTATACCGGCACGCACAGATTTTGCTCCAGCTGCGGTTCCATACTTATGCGTCAAGTTACCTGTGTAACCACCACCACTTGGCGAGGGATTGTCTTCGAAATCGCTATCATCGAACTCCTCGCGAAAAAAGTTGTCGCCCGCTTTCGGTGTATGCGCATGCGTGGGCGTGTTATCGGCAAAGTCGTTGGCATGCAGCTGCCGCTCGCCGGTACAGTCGTGTGGCACTTTATCTAAGCACTTCTTATGCGCATTATATTGGCAATCTTTGCATTGGAGGCCCTGCTTGAACAGACCTTTCAGTAGTTTTTTGCAATATTGGCATACGGTTGGGATACCATAGGTATGCACCATGAAGGTGTGTGGAATGCGTATTTTTTCGGCGTAAGCGAGAGTTGACGTGTACATAGAAATATTGGCGG